TGGGATCCTCTCCAAGATACGATACTACGTGCCGCAAACTGCCCTTCTCACACTATACCATTCACTTATATATCCATACCTCACCTATGCTATATGTGCTTGGGGTTCAACTGCAGCAACACACCTAAAGCCAATAATAACCCAACAAAAAGCCGCAGTAAGAATAATCACTAAATCCCATCCCTGGCAACACACCCCCCCACTCTTCATAGATCTGAACTTACTCCCTGTTCAGTACATCCACACTTACTACTGTGCAATCTACATCTACAGGATCTTAAATTTCAATATTAACCTTGACCTAAAACGCTTTCTTGATAGTTGCGACAGAACCCACAGGCACAATACCAGACACAAACATCTCTATGACATTCCCCGTGTCCGACTAAACCTTTACAAAAATTCAATGTATGTCAAAGGCCCTAAAATCTGGAACACCCTACCTGAAAATTCTAAAACTGCAGACACATTCATCACCTTCAAAACTACCATCAGAAAACATCTTATCTCCCTGATACACCCTGTCAACTAATTACACGAATACCACCTGGTGGTTAACACTTACACTTTCACTCACCCATTTGACCATAAACAGAAATATCAATCTCAAGCTCAAAATAATGTATCTTAACTAGTCATAAGTTGGCCTGTGATACTCCAATACTGAAACTATGTATAGTGCCAAAACAAAAGCATTCACATTGCTAAACTCACAAACTAGTATTTAGTCACTTAGCTATAATACCAACTTACCTCATAATTTTGTAACATTTTAAACTTAAGATTTAATTTAAGTCTGCCCGAAATGCCTAGCCATGCTAGGTGTTCTAGTGGTACACTCTGTAATTATTATTTTACTACATGTAAACCACACAATAACCAAATTCTGTAAACTCAGCATTGTAATCCTCATAGAGAATAAACTTTGAATCTACCAATATGTAGTCCAGCAAACTACTGTCATTTTGCCCTACATATTTAATGTGTGTACTCTATATGCATTTTTAGGCCTAGCTCTGTTGCTTTCTTAATATATGATAGTATAAGCATGTGATCAGGCTTTTATATGCATTTGAAAATGAAAAATGGCTATGATTCACTTTACAGCGGTAGCCCAAAACCTTAACCCTTTGAGGGTTTTCGTCGTACTAGTACGTCTTACGCGTAGGGGTTTTTGACGTACTAGTACTCATAAATTCTAGCGGCCTCAGATCTAGTGGGAGAAAGCTGGTAGGCCTTCATATGAAAGAATGGGTCTATGTGGTCAGTGTGCACAGTCTAAAAAAAATCCTGCAGCACACAGTGCATAATGAGAAAAAAAAAACTTTGACCATTTTTTTTTAATAAATCAGCGACTTTGCAGTGTATTTTCGTATGGTATTTATTGTTGTATTCTAGTTTTCTTGGTCTCATTTTATAGAATGGAAGACATATTACTGAAATTGAGATGATTTTGACTGGTTTTACAATGAAAGGTGCCTTGAAATTGAGCTCAAAGTAGCAGAAATGTTCGATTTTTACCAAACTTCAAAAGTAAACAAATCGTGCCAAGCGTGCAATACACGTCAACTGGTGAGTCTAATATTCTTTCACAAGTGCACCAATAATATTTATACCATTTTTTACACTAATGCAGTAGTCTGCATAACAGTAAATCTTATATTTTTTGTGAGAATAAAAATTCAAAGTGGAAAGCAAAAGAATATAAGAGGGGCCTTGAGACGTGACTAATGACTAGAGGAAATGTCATTTTAGTGCCAGGAATGTCTTTCTTGTTTATTCTGGACCCTATTCGGAAATTGGCATCTTTTGAAATTTGTGTGAAATTGGCAAAATTGCTAAATTCTGACCACTGTACTGGATAGTTGAATTTATAAATGGGTGGTTTCTTGCACCCATTCGATAGAAAAAATGGAGTTCTAGCGAAATATTCATGTTTTTTGTCGACTAGTACAGTGAAATTGGCCGAAAATGGGGCTCAAAGTGGGCAAAATCGCCGATGCGTAAACATCGCCGAGACCGCTAACTTTGCGAGAGCATAATTCCATAAGTTTTCTATCAAATTTCAAACTTTTGGTGTCTTTATGATCGGGAAAAGATTCTCTATCTTTTCATAAGAGAAAATAATTTTTTTTTTTTTTTAAATTTGGCCGACCCTGAGAACGAGTTTCGGAGAGGGCCTGTCGACCCTCAAAGGGTTAATTGTTAAATATACAGGAGGGCCCTCCTCTGTGTGTGTGTGTGTGTGTGTGTGTGTGTGTGTGTGTGTGTGTATACTCACCTAATTGTGGTTGCAGGGGTCAAGACTCAGCTCCTGGCCCCACCTCTTCACAGATCACTACTAGGTTCTCTCTCTGCTTCCTGAACTTTGTCATACCTCATCTTAAAGCTATGTATGGTTCCTGCCTCCACTACATCACTTGATAGGCTATTCCACTTGATGATGACTCTATGACTGAAGAAATACTTACTAACATCTCTGACTCGTCTGAGTCTTCAGCTTCCAATAGTGATCCCTTGTTTCTGTGTCCCCTCTCTGGAACAACCTGTCTTTGTCCACCTTATCTATTCCACGCAGTATTTTGTATGTCGTTATCATGTTTCAACTGACCCTCCTGTCCTCCAATGTCGTCAGTCCGATTTCCCTCAACCTTTCTTCGTAGGACATACCCCTGAGCTCCGGAACTAGCCTTGTTGCAAACCTTGGCACTTTCTCTAATTTCTTGACATGCTTAACCAGGTGTGGGTTCCAAACTGGTGCTGCATACTCCAGTATGGACCTGATGTACAAAGTGTACAGTGTCTTGAACGATTCCTTACTAAGGTATCGGAACGCTATTCTCAGGTTTGCCAGACGCACATATGCTGCAGCAGTTACCTGGTTGACGTGTGCCTCCGGAGACATGCTCGGTGTTATGGTCACCCCAAGATCTTTCTCCTTGAGCGAGGTTTGCAGTCTTTGGCCACCTAGCCTGTACTGTCTGTGGTCTTCATTGCCCTTCTCCGATCTTTATGACTTTGCTGGACCACGTGTCCAGCCTGTCCAGGTATCTTTGAAGTCCTGCCTGATCCTCATCTGATTTAATTCTCCTCATTAACTTCACATCATCTGTGAACAGGGACACGTCTGAGTCTATCCCTTGCATCATGTCATTCACATATACCAAAAATAGCACTGGTCCTAGGACCGACCCCTGTGGGACCCTGCTTGTCACAGGTGCCCACTGTGATACCTCATCCCATACCATTACTTGTTGTTGCCTCCCTGTCAGGTATTCTCTGATCCATTGCAGTGCCCTTCCTGTTATATGTGCCTGATCCTCTAGTTTCTGCACTAGTGTCTTGTGAGGAACTGTGTCGAAGGCCTTCTTTCAGTCCAAGAAAATTCAATCAACCCAACCCTCTCTCTCTCATGTCTTACTTCTGTAACTTTGTCATAAAACTCCAGAAGGTTTGTGACAGGATTTGCCTTCCGTGTGTGTGCGTGCATGTGTGTGTGTGTGTGTGTGTGTGTACTCACCTATTTGTGGTTGCAGGGGTCGAGTCCTAGCTCCTGGCCCCGCCTCTTCACCGGTTGCTACTAGGCCCTCTCTCTCCCCGCTCCATGAGCTTTATCAAACCTCGTCTTAAAACTGTGTATGGTTCCTGCCTCCACTACGTCATTTTCTAGGCTATTCCACTGCCTTACAACTCTATGACTGAAGAAATACTTCCTACTATCTCTCTGACTCATTTGTGTGTGTGCGTGTGCATGTGCGCGTGTGTGTGTGCGTGTGTGTGTATGTATGTATGTATGTGTGTGTGTGTGTGTGTATGTATGTATGTATAGTAGTGATAACACCTGCATAAATTTAAGGCAAGTTCATTGAATGTTTCAGTGATGAGGAAGTTAGAATCAGTGATGTGATTGAGATCAATGTGTTGAGTGAATAAAATGCAGAGAAGAAGAGATTTGAAACCCATGCAGTAGTATGAAAATGTAATTCAGGGAATGGCACTGAAAATGTTACAAAGGTTTGGTCATTCCATGAGGATGAAGTGTGAAATTTTAAAGAATTGGTGTATGTACTGATGTGGATGTTTTAAAATGAGGTTTGAAGGAGGTTTTGATAGGTATAAGATGGAACATCCAACAGGCATTTGTGAACATGTTAAATTGGAGAAAGTGATTTTTGAAATTTGAGTCTGAATAAGATTATTTTTATATAAGGATTCAGTGAAACCAACTAGCAAGAGTCGAGTTCTTGAAATGGGAAGTATAGTGCCTACAGTTTGAAGGATAATTTGGGATGCAGTTTTGTGGATCCTCTGAATTGTGATGTTCATGCATTTCTGAAAATATAGAGAATGTATGAGTAAATGTATATTCCTTCTTTGGGTCATGCTTCCTTGGTGAGAAGTGTTTATATGAAAAATGCAAAACAGGAATGAAGTGTGTTTAAACAAGTCAGATTTGTTGGGGTCCTACCAGGAGGCTGGTCATCATTGTGTCTAATGCAGTTATAGGTCAGCTTTCTTCAATGATTATCATTGTGAAAAACAAGTAAAATAATAATCAACCTATGTACAGAATTTGTGCAACTCTTCAAATTTTTGATAAGGAACAAATTTTTTATACATATTGCTGTATCTTATATATTTTTTGGTGCTATACAAGCTTGCAGATTCCTATGTTACCAGTCTTCAAGTGGTGCACTTCAACACACCATGCAGTGAAAAAGTCTCACTACTTTATCTCATTCATTTTTCTTTTGCTCAGTTTTACGTTATGTATAATCTTTAACATTAAAAACAACATTCCCCAGCTGAGTTGTAAAGGCCTTTTTCTTGTGGACAATTTAAGAGTTAAATAATTATCTGTTTCATCATGGCTGATAAAATTGTTTTACCCAAATGGAGTAAAGTTGATTGAAAGAATGGTATTGTAATTAGTTGCCCTGTTAATTTCTTGTGAAATGCCTTTTACTTTTTTATTCTTTTGAGTTAACAACATTTTGTAGGTACTGGTGGAACGCTTAGGACTGCGACTGACAGAAGATAGATTGCCAGCTAATATCACTTCTCCTGGCTCGGTCCCCACCCAAGTCTGGCTTCCAAGACTTGTTGTGAAGCGAGACACTGATGGTGTCTTTACCCTTCTTCCTCATAGTGAGGGTAAGATACACTGCATCTACTATTCAAAGGAAACTTTCGATGTTACAATCCATTCTAGACCATTATTTTGTCTGGAGGATTATTATTATCAGTCATGACTTTATCCTTTCACTGTTGGTCCTGCTGGCTTGCAAGCCAGCGTCGGTCCCAAAATAGTACGCCAAAATTCTAGCGGATTCCAATCTTGCAGGAGAAAGCTGGTAGGCCTACATATGAGTGAATGGGTCTGAGTGGTCAGTGTGCACAGTATAAAAAAGAATCCTGCAGCACGCAGTGCATAATGAGAAAAAAACTCTGATCGTGTTGTTCATTTCAAACAGCGACTTTGCAGTGTATTTTCACGTGGTATTCATGGTTGTATTCTCATTTTCTTGGTCTCATTTGATAGAAAGGAAGATATATTACAGAAATAGAGATGATTTTGAATGGTTTACGGATTAAAAGTACCTTGAAATTGAGCTCAAAGTATTGGAAATGTTCGATTTTTGCCAATGTTCAAAAGTAAACAAATCACGTCACGTGTCCAAAACACGTCGACTGGTGGGTCCAATATGCTTTCACAAATACAGTAGTACCCCGAGTTATGAACTTAATTCGTTCCAGAAAGCTGTTCAAATGCCGATACCGAGCAAATTTGTTCCCATAAGGAATAATGTAAATTAGATTAGTCTGTTTCAGACCCCCAAAAATACACTTATATAATTGTTTGAGATGGGAGCTGTTTGAAACTCGAGGTACCACTGTACACTGATATTATTTATACTATTTTTACAATAATGCAGTAGTCTGCCTAACAGTAAATTTTCTATTTTTTGTGTGAATAAAAATTCAAAATGGAAAGCAAGCATAATATAAGAGCTCTGGACCTGGAGACATGACTAATGAACAGAGAAAATGTTATTTTAGTGCTAGGAATGTTTGCATTGTTAATGAACCCCATTTTGAAATTGGCCTTCCTTGAATTGTGTATGAAATTGGCTAAATTACCAATTTATGATCACTTTATTGGGTAGTTGAAATCGGTAAATGGACTGTTTTTTATACTCATTTGATAGAACTAAAGGAGTTCTAGCAAAATAGCTATGAGTTTAGTCAACTGGAACAATAGAATTGGTCAAAAATACAGTTCAAAATGGGCAAAATTGCCAATGCATAAATATTGCCGAGACCACTAACTTCGCGAGAGTGTAATTCCATAAGTTTTCCATCAAATTTCATGCTTTTGGTGTCATCACCATGTGCAAAAGATTCTCTATCATTTCATGAGTGTTTTTTTTAAGACAGAGCAAGTTTGTGAGCAGGGGTCTTAACAGTGAGAGGGTTAATAATGGCTTAGGATGGACCACAATGTTGTCTTTAGTTTCCTTTCTGAATTTTGAGTTAGTTGTGAGCTGTTTTGGCTACAGTATTGTGACTGTCATTGTTTATTTAATGTCATCTGCTGGAATCTTATAAGAATGTATTCATGTATTTGACGGATTGTGTTAATACATAGGCCAAGGGATTCATACAAATGATGGTTAAAAAATCACATTTGTATGCTGGTGAAGGGCTCTTGATCCAAGGAATTTAAACTACTCTTACCTAGATCAAACCAGATTACCTATCATTTCCCAGGCACTATGACCCTTGCAGGTTTGGCACTTCCTCGTGAATACAGCCACTCCTCACTTAACGACAGAGTTTCATTCCTAAGACCATGTCAGTAAACGTAGTTGGGTTTTGTCAACCATCTTTGATATTGTTTTAATGTCACCTTTGCACCATTTATAACATTTTTAGTAAATTTTTAAATGTTTATACAGTTGTGTCCTGTATGTTATATACATTATTTAGGTATGCATACTGGTCAGAGCCCATTGTAAGTCCGGGTTGTCGGTAAACAAGTACATCACTAAGTGAGGAGAGGCTGTACAATAAATGGTAATAATATTTATGAATATACTGTTAAGTAAGGTATTAACCCTTTCAAGGTCTGTGCTGTAGTACTATAGCTTTGAGCTCATGGTCTGTGCCATAGTACTATATGATGAGCTCAGTTAACTCAGAATAACTGTGAGCAGTAAATTTGGGCCTAGATATGAAAGAATGGGTCTATGCAGTGAGTGTGCACTATATAAAAAAAATCCTGGGCCATACAGTGCATAATGGAGAAAAAACTGAGTGTGCAGTGGACCCCCGCCTTACAATGGCATCACGTTACGTTAAATCCGCCATACAATACATTTGAATGCAAAAATTTTGCCTCGTATCACGCTAAAAAACTCGCCTCGCGCAATTCATCCGGGACGCATCCCACGTGTGGCCTCAGCACCAGTGTTTACAAGCCAGTCAGTGCGGTTGCATCCGAGCATACATTCGGTACATTTCACCTTATCCCAGTGTTTTTTGTGCTTGTAATTGCAAATAAGTCATCATGGGCCCCAAGACAGCTTCTAGTGCCAGCCCTGTGGTAAAAAGGGTGAGAATTAGTATGGAAATTAAGAAAGGTTTTGAAGGGTTTGGGGCTAACCCTGAGAAGCCTATGCCAGTTGTGGAATCCATTGTGCCTACTTCAAAGATTAAGGAAATGTGTGCAAAGTGGGTTGAATTGCAAACCTTTATGAATGAAAAGCACCTTAACACAGCTATTGCAAGCCGTGCTGGTGACTATTACAATGACAATGTTGTGGCCCATTTTAGACAAATCTTAAAGGAACGGGAGGTACAGGGCTCTATGGACAGATTTGTTGTGCGACAGAGGTCCAGTGACTCTCAAGCTGGTCCTAGTGGCATTAAAAGAAGAAGAGAAGTAACCCTGGAAAAGGACTTGATACCTCAAGTCCTAATGGAAAGGAATTCCCCTTCTAAACAATAACTTACACACACACACCCCTCCTCCCATCCCATCAATCATCACCAGATCTTCAATAAAGGTAAGTGTCATGTATTCTCTTCTTAGTAGAGTATTAATTGTGCATGTCTTCTTAAATTTTTGTATTAAAATTAATATTTCATGTGGTAATTTTTTTTTTTTTTCAGACTTTTGGGTGTCTTGCACAGATTAATTTGATTTCCATTATTTCTTATGGGGAAAATTAATTCGCCTTGCTATAATTTCGGCTCACGATGAGCTTTCAGGAATGGATTAATATCATAAGGCAGGGGTCCACTGCATTTGGTTTAAAATAGCAACTTTGTGGTGTATTTTTGGATAGTTTTTACTGTTATATTCTCAGTTTCTTGGTATCTTTTGATAGAATGGAAGATATGCTACAGAAATAGAGAGGATTTTTATTGGTTTAAGAGCTAGAAGTAGCTTGAAATTTAGTTCAAAGAAGCGGAAATGTTCAATTTTTGCCGATGTTCCAGGCAACACAATTACGTCACACGTCCAGCTGGTTGGTCTAATACATGTTCGCCAATGCATTGACATTACAGCCTCTCCTCACTTAACGGCAGAGTTCCATTCCTAAGACCACGTCAGTAAACAAAATCATTGCTAAGGAGTATAATATAATGGTAGTGGGTTTGTGTCAGCCATCTTTGATATTGTTTTGATGTCACCTTTGCACCATTTATAACATTTCTCATATATTTTTAAATGTTTATACAGTAGTGCACTATGTATTCTAATAAACAGAATACAGGAAATGAGCTCTGATATACATGTACATTACTTAGGTACTCATACTGGTCAGAGAGCCCATCGTAAGTCTGAGTTGTCGGTAAACGAGTACATCACTAAGTGAGGAGAGGCTGTATTTATACAATTATTACAATGCAGTAATATAGGAGAGGTTATATCTAATGAATAGAGGAAATGTTTTAGAGCCAGGAATGTCTACATTGATTATTCTGGACCCTATTTTTAATTGGCAGTTTTTTAATTTTGTGTAAAATTAGCCAAATTACCAATTTCTAATCAATTTATTGGGTAGTTGAGTTAGTTAAATGGGTGGTTTCCTGTACTCAGTCGACAGAATGGAGGAGTTTGGTCAACTGGAACAATATAATGGGCCTAAAATAGGACTCAGTGAGCGAAATCGCTTATGCGTAAATATCGCTGAGAGTGCTAACTTTGCGAAGGTATAATTATGTACGTTTTTCATCAAATTTCATACTTTTAGCACCGTTGCCTTTGGAAAAAGATTCTCTATCATTTCACAATTTTTTTTTCTTTAGAAAATTCTTGGATGCCTGTGAGCAGTTTTCAGATCAGGGGTCTGGACCCTGAAAGGGTTAAAAACTACTAAATAGGAGGTAGTGTGGGTGCACCACTGACAAGAGTAACATGATTTAATGCCCTTGCATCACTCATTCTGTCCTCGCGTTGCTCACTTTGTCCCCATTCACTGTGTGTGTGGGGGTGTGTGTAGGTATGTGTGTACTTACCTCGCCTAGTTGTACTCACCTAGTTGTGATTGAGGGGGTCAAGTCACAGTTCCTGACCCCACCTCTTCAACTGGCCGCTACTCGATCACTCTTCCCGCTCCATGAGCTTTATCGTACCTCTTCTTAAAGCTATATATGGATCCTGTCTCCACTACATCACTACCCAGGCTATTCCACTTCCTGAAAACTCTGTGACTGAAGAAATACTTCCTAACATCCCTGTGATTCATCTGAGTCTTCAGTTTCCAACTGTGATCCCTTGTTGCTGTGTCCCATCTCTGGAACATCCTGTCTCTGTCCACCTTGTCTATACCTCTCAGTATTTTATATGTCATTATCATATCTCTCCTGTCTTCCAGTGTCGTCAGGTCAGTTTCCCTTAATCTCTCATCATAGGACATACCCCTTAGCTCCGGGACTAGTCTTGTTGCAAACCTTTGCACTTTCTCTAGTTTCCTTACATGCTTTGCTAGGTGAGGGTTCCAAACTGGCACTGCATATTCCAATATGGGCCTAATGTACACAGTGTACAGGGTCCTGAATGACCCCTTATTTAAATGTTGGAATCCTGTTCTTAGGTTTGCCAGGCGCCCGTATGCTGCAGCAGTTATTTGGTTGATGTGCGCCTGAGGAAATGTGCCTGGTGTTATACTCGCACCAAGATCCTTTTTCTTCAGTGAGGTTTGTAGGTTCTGGCTCCCTAGACTGTACTACGTCTGTGGTCTTCTTTGCCCTTTCCCAATCTTCATGACTTTGCACTTGGTGTGGTTGAACTCCAGGAACCAGTTGCTGGACCAGGCCTGCAGTTGGTCCAGATCCCTCTGTAGTTCTGCCTGGTCCTTGTCCAATTGAATTCTTCTCATCAACTTCACATCATCTGCAAACAGGGACACTTCAGAGTCTATTCCTTCCATCATGTCGTTCACAAATACCAGAAACAGCACTGGTCCTAGGACTGATCCCTGTGGCACCCTGCTCATTACAGGCACCCATTCTGATACCTCACCATGTACCATGACCTCGCTGTTGTCTTCCTGACAGGTATTCCCTGATCCATTGTAGTGCCTTCCCTGTTATCCCTGCCTGGCCCTCCAGCTTTCTCACTAATCTCTTGTGTGGAACTGTGTCAAGCGCCTTCTTAGTCCAAGAAAATGCAGTCTACCCACCCCTCTCTCTCTTGTCTTACTGCCGTCACCCTGTCTTAGAACTCCAGTAGATTTGTGACACAGGATTTCCTGTCCCTGAAACCATGCTGGCTGTCGTTGATAAGCTCATTCCTTTCTTGGTGCTCCACCACTCTTCTGATAATTTTCTCCATGACCTTTCATACTATACACGTCAGTGACACTGGTCTGTAGTTTAATGCTTCATGTCTGTCTCCTTTTTTAAAAATTGGGACTACATTTGCTGTCTTCCATACTTCCTGTAGTCGTCCTGTTTCAGTAGATGTGTTGAAGATAGTTGTTAGTGGTACACAAAGGGCCTCTGCTTCCTCTCTCAGGACCCATGGAGAGATGTTGTCCGGCCCTATCGCCTTTGAAGTATTTAGCTTGCTTAACAGCCTCTTCACTTCTTCCTTGGTTGTATGTATTGTGTCCAACACTTGATGGTGTACCCCACCTCTCTGCCTTTCTGGAGGCCCTTCTGTCTCCTCTGCGAACATTTCTTTGAATCTCATGTTGAGCTCCTCACATACTTAGAGGTCATTTTTTGTGACCTCTCCTTCCTTCCTCGGCCTGATTACCTGGTCTTTGACTGTTGTTTTCCTCCTGATGTGGCTGTACAACAGCTTTGGGTCAAATTTGGCTTTCGCTGCTATGTCATTCTCGTATTGCCTATGGGCCTCCCGTCTTACTTGTGCATATTTATTTCTGGCTCTACGACTGGTCTCCTTATTCTCCTGGATCCTTTGCCTTCTGTACTTCTTCCATTCCTTTGCACACTTGGTTTTGGCCTCCCTGCACCTTTGGGTGAACCATGGGCTCATCCTGGCTTTCATTATTTCCTGTTACCCTTGGGTACCAACCTCTCCTCAGCTTCCTTGCATATTGTTGTCACATCTTCCATTATCTCATCTACTAACTTCCCTGCCAGTTCTCTGTCCCACTGAACCCCGTTCAGGAAGTTCTTCATGCTTGCATAGTCCCCTTGTAGTTTGGCTTCATTCGTCCTGCCCTTCCTGCTTCTCCCTCCACTTGTAACTACTATGTATTCGAAGCTTAAAACCGCATAATCACTGGCCCCCAGGGGTCTTACATATGTGATGTCCTCAATATTTGCATTACTCAAGGTGAACTCTAGGTCCAGTCTTGCTGGTTCATCCTCTCTCCTCTCCTCTCCTCTCTGTTACTGTCCCTTACATGTTGGTACATAAAGTTTTCCAGTACCACCTCCATTATCTTAGCCTTCCACGTTTCTTGGCCCCCATCTGGCTCCAAGTTCTCCCAGTTGATTTCCTTGTGGTTGAAGTCACCCATGATCAGTAGCTTTGCCCTGCTCACCTGAGTCCTTCTGGCTGCTTCAGCCAGTGTGTTAACCATCACTCTGTTACTCTCATCTTACTCTTGCCTTGGCCTCCTGCTGTTCTGTGGTGGGCTATACATCACTACAATTACCACCTTGGGACCTCCAGACTGAAATGTTAGTACGATGTTATCTCTTGCTTCTCCTCTGTCTCCTCTCTACAGCTCATCAAAATCCCATCAGTTTTTGATCAGCAGTGTCACTCCTCCACCCCCTCTGTTCCCACTGTCTTTCCTTAGGATCTGATATCCCATTGGAAAGATGGCATCTGTTATCCCTGTGAACCTTGTTTCTGTGAAGGCTATGATGTCCAGTGATTCCTCTATGACTCTTTCATGCCACTCCTCCCACTTATTTGTTATTCCATCAGTGTTGGTGTACCATACCTTCAGTTTCCTCTCCAACACTGTATTTTGGGGGGTCTGTGAGGGTGGGGGACCTGGCAGTGTAATCTACAGCACAGTGTGGGGTAGGGACTGTGAGTGTGGATTGTGGTCTGTGTTGGGATAGCGTGATTGGTTGTGGGGGCGGTTCTGTGTGTGCTTCCTCTTGTTGCTCTGCCCTGCTCTGGTTGTCCTCTGCTGATTCTGTCCTTGTCTCTCCTCCTTGCTCCTTTCGCTTTTTGTGGCCCATCATTCAGTAGGGTGTACCAGCTTCATTTGCTGTGCCTCCTCTGGTCAGTACCCCTGTAACTCGCTTCAGCCTATTTACCTCATATTCTAGGACCCTTATCCTGGCTACTGCTGCTTTGTGTGTGTGTGTTGTGTGTGTGTGTGTGTGTGTGTGTGTGTGTGTGTGTGTGTGTGTGTGTGTGTGTGTGTGTGTGTGTGTGTGTACACTCACCTAATTGTGGTTGCAGGGGTCGAGACTCAGCTCCTGGCCCCGCCTCTTCACCGACTGCTCTGTGTGTGTGTGTGTAGGTGTGTGTGTGTGTAGCTCAAGAAATATTACCTTCCTTGGAGAAATACTAAAGATTTTTAATGCTACAGTATAATTTGTTGCTTCTTCCCTAAAGATTTCATAAATATTTTTGACTATATGTATAAAATAGTGCACAATGTATGTTCATAATCTTATTATATTTACAGAAATCAGTGAAGCACAGTTGATAAAAGATGACCGTGACAGACTAGAAGAAGAATTAAAACATTTACGGCAGCAACTAGCTGAGGCACAAGAAGCTAACCGCTCTCTACAAGAAGAGGTGACTAAGTTGCAGGGGAATCAGACTTCTCAAGGATTCTCATTACCCAAATTTCCTCTTCCATAATAAAGCCCAGAGCTTCCAGTCATGTTGTGCATGGTTGAATGAGTGGCATTGTGGAATGTTGTTTCTAACATATGAAGATATAAGCAGCTATATTCCACAGATGAATAACAGTTTGTGATAAAACAACCTCATGAAATGGCCAGTTTTCTTATTTAAGGTGCACTTAGATTATTTAGCATAATAAGCATTGGTAGAATATTATATATTTTAATTTACCTTTAATATGAGGAGAAAGGTAAATGGAAGTGCAATGCTACTTCACTATATTTACTTAAAAGAACATACACACAAGGCTTTGCTGTTAGTAAGAGCAGACTCGAGATTTGAGCCATGGTAAACAGTGCCTTAAGGCACTATTTATGCAAGTTAAAATAATTAACTTTTTTTCTGATTTTTGCCTTTATTTTTTACCTTCATAAATAATGCATGTTTCAAGCCATTTTTTACCATAGATACGATGATGCGTTTGCCCTTACTATCCACAATACCTCATACAGTTTAAACAAAACCATTTAAAGAAGCACAGGAGCTAATTTCAGTATTAATATCAGTACAAATGCACAACATACATAAATACTGTACTAGTAATCATGTCAGAGATAATTTCCTCCTTAACTTTTGCTCTTTATGGTGCTACGTAATTAAAAATACCAGAAGCAAAGTATGTTTTCTGTGGTGAATGAAAAATATACAGAGTAACAGAAGTGATTATGTACAAAATCACACTTGAGTCGTTACCTGATACAGGATTAGGAAAAAGGGAGGGAATGTAATCAGCCTTTTTCAAGCTTCCTTAGAAAAATTGTGGTTTGTACTTGGGTCACTCTTGGCATAATAATTTTGTTTTTCTGTTTGACTGTGAATTATATGGTAATTGTAGACCCTAGGCCTTGCAGTAATATTCAACAGATCATTGCTAATGATAATCCTGAAAGGAAGAAAGCTTGAAAAAAAGTACTATCCTTAATAATTTGTCTCCTTTCAGAAACAGCAGTAACTGTTAGATTAAAACTGCTGCTACTGCAAACACTTGGAATATTCTTCCATAAGAATTTCTTACTGTACTATATGACTGTTATAATAGTATGTTTGATTGTAAAATTATAAAAGTATTAATAATCTAGGAAATAATTTGTGAATACATTTTCCTGTGTTTCTTGATATGCAAGTTCAGTTAACTTTTCATTATATGGACTCTTTAGAATACAGATATTTTTATGCAATAAAATCTCTATTGAAATTTTGTTTTGCCATCTGAAGATGAAAAACTCCAGTCAGTACCATGGCATTTTGTAAAGTTGGCAGATGGTTAAAAATCTGTCATTAAAAGTATAAGCATACCTCTGAGGATATGTCAGAATGTTAAAGGATTAATATGAGAGTTCTGTGTTCTCTATCATTTGAATAGCAATGTTAATTTTTTAACTTGAGTAACAGTTAATTTTTTTTTATAATTCACATAATTCTTAATTTTTTGTGTAATTCAAGTAACCATGTTAATTATTACAATACATATCAATTACATTAGAATTTGAAGTAGACAGTAGCCTAAGCCAACTAGCAATATTACAGACACTTTCAGCAGGAAGAGACTTATTTTACGTTTCGCTATCAGTGAAAACTTTACACACCCACGTTGTTAGTGATAAGTCGTACAATAAAGTTTTTTTTTTTTCCTGTTAAGTGCCTCTTGAATTACCACTAGAATTTATATATTTGAAGCAATTCATAATTGACTAATTCACAGATTAGCATTTCTGGTAGCCAAGAATGGTTTTCAGGAGATATGCTCTGTTACATTATTGCCATTATCTTGTGTTGATAAAAAGTGGTGACTGTCTGAAACTGCACTCCCTTGTCTCTTTCAAAAAGCTGTTATGGTACAGTAAAAGACTTAACCTGCATTTAAAAATATCTAGAACTAAGGTGTTCTCTAGAGTACATCTGGAATTAGTGTTCTCTGGAACATATCTAGAACATCAGTGTTCTTAGGAGCAACTTGAACTAAATTGTTCTCTAGAGCCTATCTTAGTGCATTAGAACTAAGGAAATCTCTTGAGCTCATCCAAATCTGTCATGTAGATTACCGTGAGTAGAATGCCATGTAAATACATGAAAAAAGTAAGTTTTTGGGCTTAAAACAAATTGAAACTATGTGCAATACTGTTTATTTTAGGCTTTGAAATTTTTTATATTGCTTATTGCAGCATGAAAATCAACTTGAAGTTTACTGCTTTGCTGTAGCTTCAGTTGTATTAGCAAGACAGATACACAAGTTGCAGAATAAGCCTTTATGGGGACAGTATTATCAGAATTACACAAAGCTACAAACAGCAAAAGGTTGTCACTGTAAAAGTTTGTTCTGCTACTTGTTATTGCCTTCACACCTCTTAGCAATGCCTCATTTCATTATGTTGTACGTAAAGGAATTATGCTTGAGAGTGAAAACAATAATCAACACAGGTCTTTGATATGCAAAATATTTTACATAAATGTATGTTGCTGAGAAAAAATACACTGTGACTTTTACAAAACCAATTTATATAGTAATTATTGTCATTTGAAATACAGTGATAAATCACATGCTCTTCCTAACAGTTATTTTTTGTTTAGTTTAAGTTGTATTTAACATTATCCCAACATGTTGAAGTTGTGGTACTTTCATTGTTGTACTTTTGTGGGTTGAATATTCAGAGCATAATTATGGTGACATTAGAAAGAAAAAATTAGTGTTTAGCTTTATTGTTACCTTGAAGCCTTTGTTGTCAGTGGTGCTGACAAAGATCTCGCTGAACTCACTTTCTGGTACTGTCCTTACATTATAGCATACACTACATCAAGAAAGTTTGTTTTAATAAGAAATTTATCCAAATTGTTATGTAGTAAAGGTATGGATAGAAATGACAGCAATTATAAAGCTAGAAGAGTATTAGAATGCATTACAACAAATAACCCGCATGTAGGAGAGGAGCTTACGATGACGTTTTAGTCCGACTTGGACCTTTGTAAATGGTCCAAGTTGGACTGAAATGTCGTCGTAAGCTCCTTTCTCCTATATGCGGGTTATCTGTTGTATTGTTTCAGTCACAGTGTTGTGCCTTTTTTATTATTTATGTATTAGAATGCATGTTTAATATAGATTATGTTAGTGCAGATTTTCCAGTATGTTTCATTTTTGTTTATATTTGGCTTTACCCCAATAGCCGTCTCCTGTGTTTTTATTATGCTCGCTCAGTGATCCTGCAGATTAAATGCTTCAGTGTGTTTTGTTCTGGCAAGTCATGAAGCACTTGATTACATAATAAGCAGCTTTCATATTTTGTTATTCTCAGAACTAGGAAGTGTTCTTGCAGGCTTTGAGAGAACTCTTACAAACCAAGAAATATGCCCAAGTTCTTAGTTATTTGGTTAATGGTGAGCACTTACAAAAAGCCCTCACTCCATTACCTCTTAATTCAGAATGTGGTATACATGGCTGGCTAGTTATCGCCTAGTTTTCAGTACACATAACATTTGTCGGGTTAATAGTTTTATAAACTATTTGCAAAACTTTTTCCTGATTTAAAATTAATGAATATTTTAAAGAAAATTGCTCTTTTTGTATTTCTTAATTATTTTAATTTGACTAATGATGGAGAAGACCATTAAATATCATGTTATCTTAAACATCTAAAACTACAGATTATTCATTTTTCAAACTTAATACAGTGGTTCCTTGAGTTACGATATTAATCCATTCTAGAAGACTTATTATATCTCAAAACTGTTGTAATGCCAACCCCAAATTATGTGGTTTTATGGTAATTCATTCCAAGACACAAAAGGCAACTTTTACTGTATCTTGCACATTGTCAGATATAATTTGCAGGCACTGTACCTCCCATCATCTATTCTCTCTTATTTACAAAAACAAGTCTGTCCATCTCTGCGATAATTTCTCTGCCTCTTGTCACTAGCTTATGTTCATCAGCCACCGTAATATTCTTTATTTCTTTTTGCTTAATAATAGAAAGTTTGGTTGATTATGGAAAGTCACTCGTGCACCAGTGTACTACTACTAACTCCTTCATCATGTTTTTTCACAATTTCTTTACTCCACACTTAAAGGACCATGATTACTTGGTAATGCAAAAGTTGGTGTAATTAAAACAAATGCAGTTTTTTTTTTTTAACACGTCAGCTGTCTCCCACCAAGGTAGGGTGGATGTGTAGATCAAGTGTTTACATTGAAGTACTTTTTTTTTTTTTTTTTAATATGTACTTCAATGTAAACACTTGATCTACACATCCCCTACCTACTCTAAAACCTCCTTGCTTATCTGCAATCCTACATTCTGTCTTGCCTCTAATTCTTTCAATAATAACCCTACCATACACTTTTCCTAGTATATCTGGTAAACTTTTTTTTTTTTTCCCCCAACAAGTCGGCCGTCTCCCACCGAGGCAGGGTGACCCAAAAAAAGAAAGAAAATCCCCAAAAAGAAAATACTTTCATCATCATTCAACACTTTCACCACACACACACATTATCACTGTTTTTGCAGAGGTGCTCAGAATACAGAATACAGTAAACTTATTCCTCTATAATGTATGTACATATTGCATATTATTTGATCTAAGAGGGTGTAAAGCAAATTTTATTTTTTAATCAAAACTTTCCAGTTCTTTACGCCAATCCTGTTAGTTGAAAATATTACATAAAGAGTGTGTGTTAATGTTTAGCATGGTTAAATTTATCACTTTATTTATTGACTCAGTTTTTTTTTTTTAACAAGTCAGCCATCTCCCACCGAGGCAGGGTGACCCAAAAAGAAAGAAAATCCCCAAAAAGAAAATACTTTCATCATTCAACACTTTCACTTCACTCGCACATAATCACTGTTTTTGCAGAGGCGCTCAGAACACAACAGTTTAGAAGTATATAAGTATAAAGATACACAACATATCCCTCCAAACTGCTAATATCTCGAACCCCTGCTTTAGAGTGCAGGCATTGAACTTCCCATTTCCAGGACTCGAGTCCGGCTATGTAAAACTAACCGGTTTCCCTGAATCCCTTCACTAAATATTACCCTGCTCACACTCCAGCAGATCGTCAGGTCCCAAATACCATTCATCTCCATTCACTCCTATTGAATACGCTCATGCACGCCTGCTGGAAGTCCAAGCCCCTCGCCCACAAAACCTCCCTTACCCCTTCCTTCCAACCTTTTCGAGGACAACCCCTACCCCGCCTTCCTTCCCCTACAGAATTAAATGCTCTCCATGTCATTCTACTTTGATCCATTCTCTCTAAATGACCAAACCACCTCAACAACCACTCTTCAGTCCTCTGACTAATACTTTTTTTAACTCCACACCTTTTCCTAATTTCCACACTCCGAATTTTCTGCATAATATTTACACCACACATTGCCCTTAGACAGGACATCTCCACTGCCTCCAACCGCTTCCTCGCTGCTGCATTCACAACCCAAGCTTCACACCCATATAAGAGTGTTGGTACTACTGTACTTTCATACATTTCCTTCTTTGCCTCCATAGAAAACATTTTTTGTCTCCACGTATGCCTCAACGCACCACTCACCTTTTTTCCCTCATCACTTATATGACTAGCCTCATCCTTCGTAAATCCATCCGCCGACACGTCAACTCCCAAGTATTTGAAAATTTATTCAGTATTTTTTTTTTTTTTAAATAGGTGATATTGAAATGCAGTGGGTTGTTATCTTGGCTTTTTAGTATAAATCAGAGGCAATGATGACTTGCATCTTTTGAAATAATGATACTTCATCAACATGCAAAATATCCTGGAAAATACAGAAGTCTGAAAAAAACCAAACATGTTGAAAAAATTTCCCGAAAAAAAGGCAGGTTTTGAATTGAGTTAATTCATACAAAACTAGCAACCATTTTTTTCTCGCCACAGTACCCTGTGGCCTATAACATTCATCCAACTAGATAATTTTTGTACCCCAGAAAGGTTACAGGGACATCTATGTGATCGGTTTTCAAATTTTAGAGACGAATCTCACACCAACGGGCGAGAAAGTTTAACCAAACCCTATCGCTTTTGTCCTAACTTGTTTAAATTCTGCTATTACAGTTTTGTGACATATTGTAACAATTTAAAAGGTTTTAGATGGATTTTGCACAACCTGTTGGTGTAAATTTTTTTTTTTTTTTTAAAAAAGTGGGCCCGCCCCACCGGCAGGGTGTAAATTTAGTCATAAAGAAACTGTATTCAGGGTCAAAATGAGGTCCAATTACCTTTTATGAAAATACCCCTAGGTAGTAAGTTGGTAAACAGCACCCCCCAGGGAGGACTACCGCCGCCAAGTGAGGGGAAAAACAAAGCCTGTAATTGTTTTATTTTAGGGTAGGTTTGCTGGTGTCCTTTTTTGTCTCATAAACAGCAAATTTCGGGTACGTCTTGCACTTCTACTACATTTAGGCCCACTACCAACATGTACAAGCATAATATACACACACACACCTCTGAGTTTTTTGGTATTTCTTTCTAATTCTTGTTCTTGTTATTTCCTCTTTCCCCCTGGGAAGGGGAACAAAAATTTCTTCCCCCGTAAACCATCGTTTGTAAGAGGCACAAAAAGCCGGGGGAGGGGGTAGTAGCCCCTTTCCGATAATTACAAAAAGTAAAAGAAAATTTTAAATTTTTTTTGGGCCCACCCCGCCTGGGGGGAAAAGGGCCCGTGTGTTAAAAGAAAGAAACATGCAAATTCAGGTACTCTGCATTTTCATTACATTTAGGCCCCTAAAACAGCAGTACAAGAAAATTAATATATACACCACCCCTCTGGTTTCTTTATTTTTTACTATTCTAGTTCTTGTTTTTTTTCCCTTGTGCCAGGGGGAAAGGGGGAACAGAATTCTTCCTCCGTAAGCTGGGTTTGTGAAAAGGGCAACAAAAAAAGCGGGGAGCAAGGGGTGTAACCCCCTTCCCTCCTATATAAAATACTGAAGTTAAAAAAAGCTTTTGTTTTTCCTTTGGGGACACCCTCCCCGGGGGGACAGGTCATTTGTTAAAGGGAAAAGAATGTGAAAAAATCTAGTTGGCAGAAACCTAGTTGGGCATATTCCCCTAGCAGAAAGTAGGTACCTGGGTGTTACTGACTTTGGGGTTACTATGGGGGAACAAGATTAAAAAAAAAAGGGACCCCCGTGGAAAAAAGACGTCATGATGATGCACAGATTTTACTGGGTTACCGATTGGCCAAAAAAGCTTAGTGTACTTGCTTGCTAATTTAGGAATGACTTCCGGTTTTTCAAGACCTCCCATTTTGAGAGCTCTGTTAATTTTACAATACAATTTTATTTTTTTTCTGAAGAATTTAGAATATACTTTCCCAAACAATTAAAATGGAATCTTTAAGACTTGAGATTCAATTAATTCTTATTAAGTAAGTATTTATTCCCTTCTCACTGATATTTTGATTTTTAAACTTAATGATTAAACATTATTGCAATACTCTGTGATTTTTGGGTTACACGAACAAAGATCTTTTTGGGAAACGTGTTTGCAACTGTAAACGGAGTTTCAGGTTTTGAGGGTTTAAATTTTTCTCTTTTTCACAATTTGCTTATTTTGTAGGATGTTTGTAATTTTATGTTGGTAACACTTGTTTTTAACTGCTAATACATGCACCCCGGTTTTTGTAGTAGGTGTCGGATTTAATTGAAACCCGGGGATTTATGGGAAATTTTGTGTTGTGAGCTCATTTTCTTTAAAAAGGGTTATTAAAACCCCATAGAATTTTTGCTGTGAACAAAAACATTAGACGTATTTGTAAGTGATACAAATGTCTGTGAAAAGAATACATAAAAAGAAAAAAGGGAATTATTTAAAAGTAAGGAATATTAAATAGCACCTTTGTGTAGTAAACTTTATCAAGTGTAACAAAGCTAATACACATTACACAAGTAATGAAGTCTTGTTAATTAAAAACATCTCGTAAAAAAAAATTGTTTAAATCTTAAATGTATCACTGTTGCAAAAAAAAACTTTGAAAAATTAAATCTGCCCCTATGTTGAAAAAAAATTAAAAATTTCAGATGGAAAGTGTACGCCACAAAATTTACTTTGGTTTTGGTATTTAAAATACATTAACTAAAAGGGTCAAGGGAGACAGAAGGACATAGCATTAAGAAATACATTTTAAAAAACAAATCTGTTGCTATTGAAATTAGCATACAGAAAATGAAAATAATTTGGGAAATTTTGCACTCTTTAAGAAGCACAGCTGCTAAAGTAAATTTTTTGCTTTAAAAATTTTAGTGCGGGAAATTTTAAAGGACCCATAAGATAAGGTTTGTTTGAATAATAAAAAATGCAGTTGTACATGCGATAAACATCACGTTGACGGGGAACTATTTTATTCATAAATATTTTTAAAGAAACACCCACAAAAAGCTTATGTACACTAAAAATCACAAGCAGAGTGGGGAGTGCATAACTATATCGACATTTTTAACAAAAAAAATTTAAATACAGAAAGTTTAAAGGGGTAGTGAAATTTATTAACAAATTCAGACATTTGATTTAAAGGCCTCAGTTTAACAGTTTTTTTTTGGAAACAAGGGACAAGATTTGCCGGGTAAATTGTTTTTGGGGAAAATTCCAGGTTAAAATCACATCAAAACAGCCCTCCTACATCCTTTTACAAAAAAAAAAGAAATTATTTTACTGTATTTTGACATTTTTTAAATACAGGGGGAACCTTGGTTTTTGGTCTTCAAATGAGGAATTTGAAAAAAAAAAAATGTCCTGGTTTTCATACTTGGTTGTCAACCGACAACACAAACAGCTTGGGTCGTGTCTGAAAGACTTTGGACAATGATAGATGGCATTAGTCTGACCAAGGGCTGTTAAAAATATTTTCTAATTCCAAGAGAAAGTAGAGGCTAAAGGGGTTTGCCCCCCAAACAAGTGTTTAATTGTGACGAACGCCTCTTCGGGAATAAAATCCCCAAGAGACTTGCATAACTGAAAAAAAGTCATGCCAGGACACAACCAATGAAAGACAGCTCACTCGTTACGGTGTAATGCGGGTGGGCATTTAAAATTGAACCCCCTAATTTTGTCATTCAAAAAACCATTTTTTTTTAAGAAGAACAATTTTTATAAAAATAAATTTGGGCTGTAATGTAGAGGGCCAACACAAAGCTTGGGTAAAAGCCATTTTTTATTGACTGGGTTCATGGGGCCTTTGCTCCCACTGCAGAAAGTACCTCATTAAAAAACATTTGCCACACGGGGGCCCCTTTTACTTAAAAAAAACCTTTCCACTCTCCTCTTCAAGGGGGGGTCCTGCGTGGTAAAGGGGGCTCTTGTCGGGGAATTACCCTGTCAGTCTTCTTCCTCAGCCGAAAAAAAAATTTACCCCCCTTCCCCCTCCCCTACCCCCATCCCCCCTTTTTTCCTTTCCTCCTCCTCCCCCCCCCCCCCCTTTTTCCCCTTCCTCTTTTGCCTTTGGGGGTTTTTCTCCCCAGGGCGTAGTTCCGGGTAGGGGAAAAGGACACCGGGGTCCATCCTTTTTCCGTTAGGTTCTTGGGGGGCGTAGTTTTGCCGTGGAATTGGATTCCCGGGGGATGTCCCGACCCCCTTCCGGTACCCCGGGAGTAGCTTTGGGGTGTCTTTCGGGGACTGGTGATCTTGGAAGCCACCTTTCAGATTCCGGGGGTGGTGGCCAAAGGGGGTATGCTTTGGGCAGTATCCGGCCGCCCTCTCTTTTGTCCCCCGAGGAGTCGGCAGAGTGAGGTTCGGGTTTTTACGGCTAAAGGGGTGGGGTATGGCAGGGTTCCAGGCTGCATCTGCGTACGCGTGCTGAGTCCTTTTGGGGCGGGGAGGGAGATTTCCGGCCCCTTTTCATTCCCCGGGGAACACTACTCCCCCCCCCCCCTTTTTTATTTTTTTTTTTTATTTTTTTTTTTTTCTTTTTTCTTTTTTTTTTTTTAAAAAAAAAAAAAAAAGAAAAAGGAGAAACCAAACCATGGAGAACCCAATCCATGAACCCACTCCCCCCCCCGGGCCCTTCTTGATACCGCACCCCATTCTGCCCCTGCCTTGGTTTAGACCACTTTCTGACACTCCTGTCCCCTGTACCTCTTGGGTGCTTTTTCCTACCCGCTTCGGGTACCGGGCTTTGACTGACTCCTTCGATTTGTCGAACCCCCGCTCCCCTTTTGACTATGCTTCCGGCTTCTTCCACGGTACGGCAATTTTCGAATCGCCCACACCTTTCACCCCGGACCAACCCCGGGTCCACTCCAAACCCAACGTCAATCTCCGATGATGCCCTTTTTACCTTCCCTTTCTATGGGAAAAGACCGACACTCAAGCCATCCCCTCCCCTCAGTTTCGGACCACACAATGGACAAATTTTTTACTTTAAGACCACTTTTCTGCCTACCTTTCTGACCATAGTATTTGGAAAAGCACTCCTGCGTCATTTTTGGTAAGAAAATTTCATTTCATGCCTAAAGGGGGTACGCGCATTGTCACTGCCAAATGCTACCCAAGCTCATGATTTTCTCTCTTTCGAATATCGATACTACTCCTATCCTGTTGAAAAACATCTTTCTCTAAATTATTGTAAGTGGTACTGTCTTTCTGCCCCATACCATACCCCAACATTTTTTTCCCATCATGTGGCAATAATTTTTAAAAACACAATCCGGACCCCCCCAATCCTCAAAGTAAC